CGCACATACTGTATGTATGCATGGCTTATAATTGTAAATCGGAAACCAACGATATTCTTCCGGATGGCGAGGGATCCGGATAAAGGAGGACCGGATAAGCAAGGGTCTGACTGTACCAGATCTTGAGTTGGCCAAACGACACCACGGCACCGGTCAGTCGGAAGCTGCACACTCAGATGTCGCAGTTGTACTTTTTTTATTGTGAGTTTTTTTAGTAGAATGAATATTATTACTAACAAGTACCCGGAACCCCTTCGTTGTTTGGAATTATTGGTGTGTGTAATGGCTACTGAGGGTAGCCATGTGTAGGCTGAGAGCGCATGGAAGAGGAGAAGAGGAGGAGAGAATGCTGCGTTGGAAAAACAGGACCATTCCGGAACATTCAGCCCAGAATTATGTACTTTCTTGAACTATGCTGTTCATCAGCCATCAGTCTCTGCTACCTCCACCCCACAGCCTCCCATTATAATGGAACTCCCTTCAATTTAGACTATGTCTTTGGGAAATTTGAAACTCGGATGTTGAGCCAATAACTTAACTTAACTCGTATCCATATGTCCTTTTTCCTTTGGGAAATCCTCAAATATAATAATAAGAAGAAGAACTGTCCTTAACATGTAGATGCACATCTGCTGCGTTTTCATGTTCAATAGCCAAGGGACTTGAATAACGACTGATAAAGATATTTCCTTTGTAATCCCCATAACAACATCAACGTCCTTATCATTTGTACAATACCTGTGTTTGTACAATACCTGTCGTTGCAAATTCTTTATTATTGTTTTGATGTTGGTGTTTGGATTGAGTTTCTTTCCTTTCTTCCTCTTCCTTCCCCTATTTCTTGTCCCTTTGGTTTTTGGTTTTTTATTTTTTCACTTTCTTTTTGCTGTCCCACCCATGGAAATATTTCCCGGTGGGTCTGGCTTATCGCCTTCGAAAGAAGTGAATAAAGGAGACATAATAATAGTAAGCTCTTGGAAATTGCACGCAGACTAACCTTTTCTCGTTTTGGTTTGATTTCCCTTGCCACTTGGCAGTAACCAAGGACAGCCGAAACAAACTTGTACAACCCAGCGCCGGCAAAGCTGACTTCTTTCATGCGCTCGTAGGTAGCGTCGGCCTCCTTCAACTTGGACTTGCACTCCGTGGACTGAACAGTGGACACAGCACAGAGAAGGTATTCTTCTTCATATTCAACTCGGATGGTGAGCCAATGAAAATATGGTGAAAAAGGAAAAGGACAAAATATTACGAGTTATGACTAACTGTCCACCAACGTAACCAGATCTTATACAGTCGGCGAGTGCGACAAAATGGCACGTCTCAGTACTCCTTGTCAGTTTTGTGCCATTTTGTCGCACTCGCTGACTGTATAAGATCTGGTTACGTTGGTGGACAGTTAGTCATAACTCGTAATACTTTGTACTTTTCCTTTTTCACCATAACTTCTTATTATTCACTAGTTTGAGGGAAAGATGCAAACGGGAATTATTATGGAGCACACATTCATAGCCGAAGCCAATCAAATGAGGTGAGGGTGATTAGGGACAGCCGTGGCAAGCTTAGCAAAGAGAAACGCATCAATGGAAATAATGAAAATGATAAAAAGAAGAAATTGTGATACCGTATTATCTCTAATATAAGCACGGTCCTTTAATTTTTCAATGTACCTCCGCCCCATGCTATTAATGGAGATGGTCCTTTATTGGAGACTGTTCCATTATTATTTCAACCTCATTTCAGAGGCATGTTGCCATGCCAAATTCATGTCAGACACACACATTTCAGGGTTTTTTTCGCCGGTACAGATAATGAATTTACACAGTGTGCTTATAATGGAGACTGAGCACTTTATTTTTTGAATGCCACCCCAAGGTGTTCTATTATTGGAGACGTGCTAATATTGGAGACTGTGCTTATATTAGAGATAATACGGTATGTGTGGTTGGTTGGATGCGGTGGGCGAAGAGATCACTCAAACGAAATGGAATAGAGAAGTAGACAGGATGGCAGCAGCAGCAGCAGCAGCAGCAACAAGAACAACCACACAGACTAAGTTGCAAAAGGCAAAGTTTCACACACGAAGCAGTCACCAAAGAACAGGATGGTCAAGTAGTGAACACGTGCGTGCGTGTGTGTGTGTGTGCGTGCGTGTGTGTGTGCGTGTGTGTGTGTGTGTGTGTGTGTGTGTGTGTGTGCATATGCATACAAGGACAAGACCACGAGACGCAGTGGAGGAGGAGAGGTATGAAGCAGTTGCAGGGGAGAAGAGCATCACAAGCATATCCGTCCTGCACTTGACCCCCCCCCCCCCCACACACACACATACCTTACCTGCTTCACCGAGATACCATCAACGTCCATATTCATGAGCGAGGAGAGAAATCCAGACTCGGCCATCATTCCCTTGGCAGTTTTCCAGTTGATTTCCTTGAAACCTTTCAGAATGAGAACACACTCGCAAACCTTCTGCACGGCCTTAGCCGGCTGTGCAAACGATCTGGTGCACAGGCAAGGGAAGAACAAGAGCGAGAATAAAAACGAGAACAGGAAGGAGAACAAGAACAAGAACAAGAACGAGAAGAAGGAGAAGGAGAGGGAGAAGCAGACCGATAACTACCGTATTTCCCGGAAGTTAGTACGTACTAACTTTCGAACTTAGCAGCCACATGAGTACTAACTTTCGGGGGTGGTACTATCTTTCGGGGAGTACTTTTTTATCGGGGGTAAATGACACGCAGTGGGAAGCCTGCGCAACTCTAGTGTCCGTGCATATGATGTATGTACTGTACGGTGTCTGCACATGTAGGACGGGTACGAACTTACCATCTTTCGGGGGGAACTGTCTTTCGGGGTGATAACCTCGGCAGTGGAAAGTGTATTTTTTATAGGGGGGTACTAAGTCATTGGGGAGAACTTACTTACGGGGAAATACGGTACTGCTGTGGACATGAAAATCAGGTCGCACGTCTAGCGGCCCCGGGGCGCTGGCCATCCAGCCGGGGATAAGCGGTACACACATGCATCAAGATGTGCCGCAGCGTGCTGATCGCATCGGATCAACATGTGCACAAGGGAGCCCTATACATACCGCTAGATATGGTATGTGTGTGGATCCCTGATGTGCACTGCATGCAACGACGTTCTGTACGCGCTGAGGGCGCCGGCCCCGGTCATTCGACTCGATTTCCATGTCCACGACATTAGGATAAGGAGAAGGAGACCGAGAAGGAGACCGAGAAGGAGACCGAGAAGGAGAACAACAAACATCACATCACAACCTGCCCATAGTGTCCCAATCACGCTGATCCAGCATTCACTGTACATTTAACGTACATGTACATGTGGTGACGTCGGTGGTGCTCACTTAAAGCGGAGGAACTGCTGCTTCCCGTTGACCAGTGAGAACCGGTGAGAACCAGTGAGAACCGGCGAGAACCGGCGAGAACCAGTGAGAACCAGTGAGAACCAGCGGGTTGGGGTGCATTTGTAGGTATGAGCAGCCACACTATTATCGCCATGGTCGATTATGGTTGTTGTTGTATACTTTATGGTTGAACCGACTCGACCCCCCCCCCCCCCCCCAGTAGGAATGGACGAGCGGGTTCTGGGCCAGGGGGCGCCCGGGTCCCAAAAAATGGGGTATTATTGAAAAATGGGGTACTAATAGTACCCCATTTTTGCGGTGAAAATTATTTTTGGCCCGGTTTTTTTGCGGATAAAAATATGTGCCAGGGGGTGCCCCTACCTCAAAAAAAAAAAGGGGGGTATTATTGAAAATATGTATTGGGGTGTTATGCTCTACCCTAAACAATAAGGTAATATGGTGTCATGATTTGGAATTCTACATGTATCATTAATTTTGATTTTTAGGGTGTGGGTAATATGTCCTACCCTACATCATAATATTGCATTCCGATGTCTAAAATATTACTATTTCAAATGTCAATGTTATCTCACTTTTTCCAATTTTATATTAATCAGAACTCATAGTTTTGCAGTATTTTGACTTGTAATTTCAATTTTTCGGATCATTTTCCGGACCCCACCCACCCCACCCCGCCTCCCCTCCACCTCCCCCAGGTATTTCTCACAAGTAGCTCGTGTTCACAAACATGGGAGAGTCAGATGTTTAAAATACTTGTATTAACAATATGCCTCACGGTTGACACATGACGATAATAAGATAACAGCTTGCTCTCTACGAGCAAAGAGATACAATGAAAAGAGAGAGAGAGAGAGAGAGAGAGAGAGAGAGAGAGAGAGAGAGAGAGATAGAGAGAAGATAGCACCCATTTTGTTCACCCAGGGGATGGCTCACGCCTGGTAGGAAGAGAGAGAGCGAGAGAGAGAGAGAGAGAGAGAGAGAGAGAAGATAGCACCCATTTTGTTCACCCAGGGGATGGCTCACGCCTGGTAGGAAGAGAGAGAGAGAGAGAGAGAGAGAGAGAGAGAGAGAGAGAGAGAGAGAGAGAGAGAGAGAGAGAGAGAAGATAGCACCCATTTTGTTCACCCAGGGGATGGCTCACGCCTGGTAGGAAGAGAGAGAGAGAGAGAGAGAGAGAGAGAGAGAGAGAGAGAGAGAGAGAGAGAGAGAGAGAGAGAGAGAGAGATAGCACCCATTTTGTTCACCCAGGGGATGGCTCACGCCTGGTAGGAAGAGAGAGAGAGAGAGAGAGAGAGAGAGAGAGAGAGAGAGAGAGAGAGAGTCTAGCAATCAAAGATATCTTGAGAAGGTACTACCCAGGAGCGCTTCCTGGAAACTTCGATGATTGGAGCTGTATTCGAAGCCTGAATCGTCACAATTGGTTCATCCAGGTCATCATCGGCCTTACGCTTCCGGCTTACTACATAATCACACGAGACTTCCGGCATCTTCTTAGGATATCCTTCATCGTCGATGTCGATCGTGCCGACACGCGCAACAACACGGGTTATCCTCGTCGACATCACTGAGAGGCGGACAGATTTCGTCGTCGCTTGTGAATCCCCGTCTTTTCGAAAGACCTTGCGATCGTTGAGATCCTTGATGACACGGATGAGTTCCTGAGCTTCGATCTGCTCTCCATTTGCAAACGTCTCTTCGACAATATCCAGAACACCTGCAACCATCATCACGTTGTACATCGATCTTCGTCCGTCGTCCCAGCAGCGGAGCAGTCTGCCCGTATCTCTCCATGATGATGATCCATAATCCTCTACACCATCAACAACGATCTTCGGTAGACGCTGGTGTTTCTCACCGCTCACGAGAACGCGCGTCGACACCCTGCACAGATACTGTGCAATCTCCATGGGAGTCAAGTCCGTCCGATCCGGGTGAAGAAGCATGGGTCTTAGCTCGTAAGCTGTACCCAGATCGGTGAGTAACCGAACGGTTAATTCATCTTTATTACTACAAGAAAATAAATAAAACTTCTCTACATACGGTTCGGATGTTGACCAGGCCGACATCTTTGATCTGGTAGAGAGAGAAATTCTGGAGACGGTACTCGATCATCCAATGGACTCAAAAATGAATTGTGAACCAAAAATGAAATTATATCAGGTTTTATAGGTCCCGCCAAGTCCCGTCCCGCCGGGTCCCGCCTCCGGGAAGGTGACGACCTTGGAGAACACGGTGAACACGGTGCGCGCCAAAAACCAAAACGTTGCTCGCGACATGTCGTGTCTTTTTTGGTTCGGGTTTGGAATCTTTCCATTGACATAAGTCAATTAGTTTTCCATCTATGTCCGTAATCGAAAGGTCCATGAGGTGTAGAATTTTTCTAGCTTTCCTCTCGTATAATTCTTTTCGACATACAACAATTCTTTCTCGAACTTTTAGCTGCTGGAATACCGGATTCATCTTGACCTCAGATGCACAGATCATGCATCCATGCATTGACGTCACAGTACATCATTGCAGCACTGATTTCACTGTGAAGTGTGGAACATGGGTCAATGCGCGATAAAAGGATGAATGTGATTTCAGCGGGAAGTGCGCTAATTGGTCACATGTTTTCAGCGGGAAGTGCGGTAAGTGGTTAATTGTTTCCAGCGGGAGATGAGTGGATTGGTTAATTGAAAAACAACCAGTTATTCCGAATTCAACTATTACGAAAACCCTATAAAAATAGATCCTCGGTACCTTGTCAAGCCATTGTGTGGTTGTCCGCCACCACCCCTGCTCAGGATGGAACCCATTCGGAAGAAACCTCGTCAGTCTTTTGATGTAGTGAGATCATCTGATCTGTTGCAATTCTTTAGTTATTGTCCTGATCAAGAGTTTGCAGATGTACTAAAGTTTTTCTCTCATGTTCTACCGTCGCTGGAGCTGCTTCTTGAAGAGAATATTGAGCAATGGGGTCAGTACAAGTGTTCTTTGGTAGTTCAGGTGGTGATGCAGAAGCTGAATCCTGCTACAGGACAAATGGTTTCCAACACATTCTTCTTCCGATCGAGTACAACGCTGGTGCTCAACACCATGGAGCTGAAGGACCTTCTCAGTAGGATGATTGCTCAGATCAACGCTCGTCTTGATGATTTCGTTCGTCATGGATCAGGTTGGGTAGTTGAACGGATTTCCTGTTTACACATCGAAATGTCACGCTACTGTGTACTTGGAGGAAGTTCGTACATCCCCTTGCCACCGGAGTTGAAGTCGAAGAAGGCCATTGTTAACGTGCAGAACACTGACAACAAGTGTTTACTGTAAGTATAGCAGTGGGGTTTCAGTGTGGTGATACGGTGTATGGATTGAACTGTATGACGCCTGTCCATGTCTTATGTCATCCGTACTTTAGATGGTCAATACTGGCTGCTAAATTTTCGGCAGACAAGTCTCATCCATGTCGTCAATCGTCGTACGCAGAACATGCGGATACTGTGGATGTGAGCGGCATCGAGTTTCCAGCAAAACTGGAAGACATACCAGTCATCGAAAGACTGAACGACGGTCTTTACATCAACGTCTTCGGATATGAAGAGAAAGTCATATATCCGTTAAGAATTTCTCAGCATCCGCAGTCCGCCATCAATGTATTGCTCATCCAAGACGAACGCAATGACGTGGAGGTGCAGCACTGGGTGTGGATAAAATCATTCAGTCGTCTTGTTGCTACTGGAGCACGTCGAGCACATTTCGTCTGCTTCAGATGTCTCTCAACACACGTCACGGAGAAGGCATTGAATAATCATATGATGTACTGCAGTGAACATCCTGAAGCCACGGTGAAGATGCCAAAGGCTGGCGATAGAGTGATGTTCAGGAATGTGAACAAGCAGCTTCAAGCCCCATTTGTAAGTAGAACATTTAATCAAGGTGAACACACTGTGGTCTGTTTTTTTTTTTTTTTTTTTTTTTTTTTTTTTCTTTTCTTTTCTTTCCTGCACATGTTTCTTGACTCTGATTGTTCACCTTTCTGCTGTTTTACTCGGTGTTGTCTCTGCAGCTATTCCTAATTCTCTATCTGTCTTTTCCGCTGTTTTACTCGATGTTGTCCCTGCTGCTATTCCTAC